GGTTCGGTAGATTTGACGAACCGGTTCTACCGAATAGGCGCGAACTGGTAGGAACCCACCTCTGGTAGGCACGCTGGTGCACTTATGCACGCCCCCTTTACGGACCTCTTAGGAATTGGGTAAGGTCCACAGTAGAGAGTTTAAGGTTGAAGCTGTGAAGGTTTGAGGTTGTAAGCATGGAGTCAGGTAGAGCATTCCAGGCGTTGACCACTCTGTTGCTGAAGTCGTATTTTCTGCAATCAAGTTTGGAACAGTTTACCTTGAGTTTGTATGTATTGTTTGCCCGTGTAGTATTGGACTTGAAGCTGAAGAAGTTGTTGACAGATAAGACATTGTAACAAACAATTTTGTGTACTATGCTTAGATCGAAACACAGGCAATGCAGTTCCAGATTGTCCTACCTATATGCTAAGGTGAAGCATCAAGCTGATTAATGGGCAAAAATAATAGAGAATTCAAAAACAATAAGCAAAAGCACTGAAGTGATTAGTAGCATATTATTATTATGCTGCATGGCTTGGAATCAGGTTATCAGAAGGACATTTTTCCCCCAATCACATCTACCTAACCCTTCAGAGCAGGGAGGCAGGGAATGTGCAAGTCCCCTCTCCAAATGAGGTACATCTGGTGGGAGTGGGACCCAGAAGAAGGGTCTTCTCCATTATGCCCATGGAAATTAGATTGGGCCCCATTTTGACACACTTTTGCAAAGTCCAGAAGATGTGGTTTGGTCAACAGGCCTAGGAAACCCAGAGTGGGATAGAGTCCAACAAGGGGATTGTCTGATTTATTGTTTCCACCAGGGAGGTGGAATGGAGTTATTGTTTTTATTGTTTCTTGGATTTTATTGTATACTAGCTGCAGTGACGTGCGGTGAGGTTTATACCTGGTGAGGCTCAGCTGGGCATCCTTTTCCATGAACGTCGCCACAATTTCTAATGTTGGATTTTCCCTCTTACCAGAGGGAGTCCACTTGTGGAATACTGTGAAGCCATTACCATGGCAACTCCACAGCACTGGTTTGGTTGATTTGGTTTGGTTTATTGGATTTATATGCCGCCCTTCTCCCAAGGACTCAGGGCGGCGTACAACATTAAAAGAAACACATAATACAAAAGTTAAAAAAAATTAAATAGAATATTCAAAACAAACCCAATTAAGATTAACAATAACATTTTTTAAAAAAAAATCGATTAAAATG